GCAAGGTAAAAAACAAAACAAGAAAAACAGGCAAAGCACTTTGACACCAAAAATAACTCCAAAAATATCATTGGATTCATTTTGTATTGGCCATCTACTACTAGGCACAGGGCCTCCCTTAAGTGTGGTTTGTATGCCCAGTAAGACTCCATCGGAGGACACTAACTTTTCCTTTGTGAGCAGTTATCAACTGGATATGGATTCTGGGTTAAGGATGGGAGCTAGTGTCTATTTATCCTCTTGGTGCTGGACGCCTCTAGTGTAAACCTGTGACAGGCCCTGTGCGTGCTGCCATCTGTGAGTTCATTCCGTACTTTAGTCCTGTTATGTCTAGAAGGTCTCGTTTCTTTGGTGTCTTCCAATCCTACTGGCTCTTACACTCTTTCTCCCCTCTCTTCTTCCTGAGTTCCCTGAACCCTGAGGGCAAGATCTGATGGAGATATCTCACCTAGAACTGAATGTTCCAAGGTCTCTTGCTCTCTACAGTTGTCCAGTTGTGGTCTCTGTATCTGCTCCCATCTACTGCAGGAGCAAGCTTCTCTGATGATGACTGAGCAAGATATGTGTCATTGGCACATTGGCAGAATGTTGATAGGAGACATTTTATTGCTACATTCATTTAGCAGAACAGCATTTGATTTTCTTCTAGATCTACGTCCTGTCTAACCTCATGTTTGTGGCCACCCAGGAATTTTCAGGCATGCGTTGCATAGAGCAGTCCTTAATTCCAATCAAATAGTGGTTGGCTGCTCCCACAACTTCTGTGCCACTATTGCACCAGAATATTTTGCAGGTAGGTCATTATTGTAGAGTACAACTAACAACTCTTTTGAGAGCAGGAATTCCCCCCTTAACCATTGCCTTTCGCCACTGGCACAGAGTAGATTATGGTATTAGTTAGCTTTCTGCTGCTGTGATAGAACAACAACCAAGGCAACTTAGAAAGGAAAGAGTTTATTTGGGGTCACTGTTCCAGAGGGATAAGTGCCCATGATCACAGGAACAGGAAGCTAAGAGCTCACATCTTGAACTGTAACAACAAAATAGAGAAAGTAAAGTCAAAATGGTGCTGGTCCTTTACTCTCAAAGCCTGTCCCCAATGACTTACTTACTCCAACAAGGCCACACCTCCCAAGCCTCCCCAAAAAGTGCCACCAACTGGAGACCAAGCATCCCAAATACCACAGACTATGGGTGGCATTTCTCATACAAATCATAAACAACTCTCAAAAGAGATTATTTTTGTGTGTTTGGTGCTTGTTTCTGCTATTTATTTATTTATTTTAGAGGTCTCACTAACTATGTTGCTCAGGCTGGCCTCAGACTTCACAATCTTGCCCCTTCTCTCTTTCCAAGTGCTGGGGTTACAATTAAGCCTAACACTTTGTATAAATGCAGATATACACCCACGGATAAATGTACAACATCCTCAATAAACATTTATAAGAGAAGTACTTGTTTTAATATCAACAAGTAACTATGGTGAACTCTATGGTTTGAATTCTACTGGTTACATCCACATGTACTCCCAGAACATTAAACACTTGTTTGAACCCCTTTTCCACTTTTGGACTGTCCTCTTGCTCAGTCTATTTGCTCAACCTAACAGAGCATTCTTATCTTCTTCTAGGCTTATTAACTTCTAGGCCTTCAATGTCATTAACCTTCCAAATTCGTTTACCTTTAGCCTCTCTCTTCCAGTGCTAATCTGTATTCATAATTTCAACACCCTTTGTGCTGTCTAGATTTATGTCAACTTGATAGAAAGTGTAGTCATCTGAGAGGAGGGGCCCTTAACTGAGAAAATGCCTCCATAACATTGGGCTACGGGCAGCCTGTAGAGCGTTTTTCTAAATTAGTAGTTGAAAGGGGAGGGCCCAAGCGATTGTGGATGGGGCCACCCCTGGGCTGGTGGTCCTGAGTTCTATAAGAAAGCAGGCTGAGCCAGACAGAAAGCAGAGCCTGTCTATAGCTACAGGTCTAGTAAAGTGATGTTCCAAGACAAGAGGTTACAAGAAAGTTAGGTCAGATGCAAAGTTTCAAAGAAATGCACCCCCTTCTTATAAAAAAACGATAACTCTAGAAATGTAACATTTTGTCTCTCCATAATTGTGATGCTTGCAGGATCTTTAATGAGGATGCAGTTTCTTCTAGTTTACAGTGGGCTAGTTCTAGAACCTTCCAAACAGCTTTCTTGGTCTAACTCCATTTCACATTATTGTCAACTTTCGGTTTCCAAACAGTTTCCATACCGCAAGGAAAATGTTTACATGTTTATATGTATTAGTAGATTAGACTTCTCAACTAACTTTCTCTACCAAAAATGATTTTCGTGGAAAAATACTTAGTATATTAATCCAATAATTTAACCTCCAGGTGATGTGTTTATCTAATTATTCTTTAGCAATAAAAACCCAGGAGTCAGATATCAGGGTAAGAACCTGAATTATCAGAAAAGTGGTGGAGAGGCGACCAGTGACCTCCTCTCTCTGTCATTCCTCCATCCCAAAACAACTGAGATCCTCTTTAAGCCCCACCAAAACCTCTATGATCAATTTTAGTCAGGTAGTAGCTAACTCTGCCCACTGTTTCAAAGCAAACTTTATTGTCAGAATGCAATCAAAATGTCACACAACATCCAGGGAACTGTTTTTTTATGACAGCTGTTCCCACTGGAGTGCACAAACCCTTAGCTGGAGTGAGCCCAACATGAATCAACTTCATTAGTCCTTAGTGCCATCAGAGAAGCCTAGATTTGGGGATGGGACAGACTTATTTGAAGTAGTAAATTGCTACAAGGAACAAACAACATAAAGCAAAACAAAATTGTAGTATATTCAAGACTGGAAAAACACATATAGGAGACTTTTCAGATGTGTTAATGTAACTTTGGGGTCCTCAAGCTTCCCTTGGGTGGGGTATGAGATAAAAAGATATGAAAATGTGATCATTATAGAATTTACCTATTTTTGTTGTCAGTCAGTCTGCAATAGCGGCAATAGTGATTGGTTAGCTCCTGGTGGATGACGGATCTCTCACTTCTGAGATTCTGGCTTGCTTTCGGGTGACAGCATCTAAGAACATAACCAGAGCTCAGAAACACATCCAAGTGGTCAACTACGTCACGAGGATGAATGGAGGCGTGTACTTGTATGCTAATATATCTGCCAGTCACTTCACAATTTGTTCACTCAGTATTACAGAGCAGGCAAGGAAGACCCCTGAAGGAACTTCGTGCAAGGTGATGAAATAAGTAAACCAAAACTCACTTTTTCCTTACCGCTACTAACATAGGAAATAACCATCAAGTCTGTAAACGACAAGAGAACGGATAATCATAATTAATCATCGCAAGTGGCTTTAAATTAAAGGAATGTGTCTTACTCTGTTGCCAGGGGCCTGAGGCAATTCAATTTAATTCCTTCTTTTCTTCTTTTCACTGCTCCAAGGTGTGTGATTTCTTCCCATTTTGAGTTCCTAGGCAGGTGATCAGGTCTTAGTTTTCTGTCTTTATGACAGGCAGAAAGGGCTCAATAAATATTTACCAAATTAAATATATATACACATATCATTATCTCTCTATATATATGTATGTGTACATATAATACAATTATTTTAATATTCTTTAATACAATTCAACAAAAGAACCTATAACTCTATAAGAACCCAAAATGCTACAATTCTACTAAAAGTCTAGCTTTTTATTTTCAGTCTAGGCTCCCTATCTGTGCAAAGTCCATTTTCCTATTACCGGGATACTATTTATTTCTGCTTCTCATATTTCCCTCTCTAATAGTCTGATCTCTTTTGACTCCCTCAAATACCTATTGATTTACAGTGAGAAATTAGAATGTAATTTCTAAACATTGTTATCTCCTTTTATTGTTTACTGCTGTCTTTGATTTCTAGTTCCTATAGAAATCTAATGTGATTGGCCAGGGTGGTTTCCTGCACCACTGACCATGAACCTCATCTCTGTACATTTAACATTGTAAACACATTCTGAAGACACTATGGTGATCCTAATGTATCTTCCTTAGAAATGTGAGAGGTGTTCAGAGGTCAGGAAAATGAAACACTTGATTCTGCTCAACAGATATTTCAGGGAATCAAAAGGGATCGGACTATTAGAGAGGGAAAGACAAGAAGCAGAAATAAACAGTATCCAGGTAGTAGGAAAATGGACTTTGCACAGATGGGGAGCCTAGATCAGAAATAAAAAGCTAGACTTTTAATAGAATTGTAGCATTTGGGGTTCTTTTATAGAATTGTAGGTTCTTTTGTTGAATTGTATTAAAGAAGATTAAAAATAAAAACATAATTAAAATATTAAAACACTAACGTTAAAATAGGGCTGTGTACACAGAAGATGTGTTTATTTTGTGTCAAAGGTGTCACTTCTATTCAAAAGAGTTTATGTGTTCAACTTTGCTGTTCCTGGTTTTAATAAATGAAGTCTTGTTGCAACCTTTAATTATTATCACTCTTCTCACCTGGGCTTGAAGGAAGACCATTTTACAGATTTACAAGATGGCGATCTTGGTATAAATTCCAGGTCGTTTTATAATATGGTATGAAACCTCAAGTGATGGTCAATTTCACTTCTTTTGGGCTCTCAGCTGGCCTGTGGAGTCAGTAACCTCACCTGTAGGTCTCAGGCTTGTTTCCCAAACCTACTAAAAAGAAAAAAAAAAAAAAAAAAACGGGTCGGGGAGAGCATGGTAGAGCATTGCACAAATTGTTTCTGATTTCGCCCCCGACCGAGGACTGCTTATTTCTCTGGCTAGTTCCCCTAATCGGTGCTCAGGCCTCGGCAGCCCCGCCTCCCTGGATGCTGGCTGTACCCAGAAAACCCGCGAACGGCGGGAGTCCACGCCCAGATCTGGGTGCTGAGCCCGGAAGCCCGGGGCGGCAAATTCCCGGCTCCGAATCAGCTGCAGCCCCGCCCAGCTGCACCTCCCGCCCTGGGCTGCAGCTTCGCTGGGGAGAGGGCGGGGCCTCGGGTCACGTGGGGGTCATCCCGCCCCGCCCACCGCTTCCCGAACCCGCGGGGTCCGGCCTGCTTGAGTCCGCACGTGGTCTTTCCGTCTTCTTATTCCGCGACCCAGCGCAGCAGCCATGGCTCCAGGCCAGCTCGGTGAGGCCCTCGCGGAGCATAGCCGGGTCCCGCCTGCCCCAAGCCCGGTCACCCGCCCGAGCAGCACGCCGCTGGCCGAGCTGGGAAAGCCCCGGGGCCGGGCCTGCCTACTGTGTGTCCCGGTGCTGGGCCTGGGCCTGCAATCACAGGTCCCCTCCCCAGACCCGGGAGAACGCCGTGCCCGCAAATAATGAGAAATGCCTTCTGTTTCAGCTCTGTTCAGTGTGTCTGACAAAACTGGCCTAGTGGAATTTGCCAGAAACCTCGCATCTCTTGGCTTGAGTCTAGTCGCTTCCGGAGGCACGGCAAAAGCGCTCAGGGATGCTGGCCTGGCAGTCAGGTAAGGCAGTACGTAGTTTTAAAGGTAAGTCCAGGGAGAAAAACGTGACTATGTTAACTCGGAAGAGATGCAATCAGACACTGAGAAAAATAACCTTTTATTCCCAATAACGTTGTGAGGCCGGCCCAACCTTCCTTCCTCTGTGGAAGAGGAACCTCCAGGTAACAACCTAACAAACAGTAAGGGGTAGAAGTTGGGTTAGGACTAGAGAGATTTGATTTTTTTTAGAACCCTAACACCCAGCCACTGTTGGCAAGCAAATTAAGTTAGGTGGACCATTTGTTATGCAGAACAAACACAAATTCTCAGTTTCCAAGGCCTGGGTTTAACTTCCTTCCAAGTAGGTACAGTTGCCTCTTCCATTAGCATCTTCAAAGTACAAGTCATTGGCTCCACTCACAAGCTCTTCATCACCTGACTACGCAGTGAGGAGGGATTGATTGACAAGAGGCGTCAGGAGATGTTCCTGAAAGGCTGGAAGATAGAAAAGGAAGGAAAAAAAAAATCTCAGGATAGGAAGTTCAGAGGAAGGACACACCACTGGGATAAATTTCAGATAGAAAATAAAAGATCTCTCTGTCTTTGTTGCCATAACAATTCTCGGCCTATGGATAATTCTGTAGGGATCTATTATCCATTCTCTGTGAGCAATGCATAACCCCTGTAGATCTGACTGCTTCAGACTGCACGAATGCCTTTGCTTATTAAATACATGTCTTCCTCAGAATCTTTTGGCGTCTTGTCTCTTGAGATTCTCATGAGAGGCAAGAGTGTCAGGGACAGCAGACAATAAGGTTCTTGCAAGGTACAGCTGAGTTCTTTGGGCCAAGTTGATATTTCATTTAAGGTGAATCAGAATTTTGAAGTGTAAGGAGTTCTTAGGTCATGTGTCACCTAGTTTAGTTAAGGTTTGTCAGATGGTCACTCCCGTTCCATGCCACTGCCCATTCCCTACCTGTGCCAGTAGCTTTATGATTCTTATTCTTTCAGATTTATTTATTTATTTACTTATTTATTATGTATGCAGTGTTCTGTCTGCATGAATACCTGCAGGGCAGAAGAGGGCTCCAGATCTCATTATGGATGGTTATGAGCTACCATGTGGGTACTGGGAATTGAACTCAGGACCTCTGGAAGAACAGCCAGTGCTCTTAACCACTGAACCATCTCTCCGGCCCCTTGATTCTTACTATTTTGGTGGTATTGAGGATTGACCTTAGTGTCTTGCCCTGTCAGCTACTGAGCCATATCCCTAACTCACTTATTGTTTGTGTATTGGGGGGAGGGGGGCAGGCTGTCTTCGAACTTGTTCTGCAGGCCAGCCTGGCCTCGAACTCACAGATAGCCACCTGTCTCTGCCTCCAGTGTGCTGGAATTAACGTCATGCGCCACCACGTCCCAGCTTACTTTAGAAACTTTAAATTTACGATCAGGGCTTGTTGTTAAATTCTCTATAAATGATTCTCAGTTGAATTTATTTCTTGATTAAAGATACTGACATCTCTGGAAATTGTGAAGCCAGTGCTTTAATACCCAATTGATTAAAAACATATAGAAAACAAAACATTTTTTGTAAAATAAATTAGATTTTTGAAATCTAGCTTAGTGAAACAATTTAAAGGTTTGATACATTGTTTAAGTTGGATTGGGGGGAGAATCCATTGGCCTGAGTCTAGTAGACTTGGGGGGAGTAGTGGAAATGATGGTTTAGTAACTTTTTGTTACTCTCTTTGCAGAGATGTGTCTGAGCTAACGGGTTTTCCTGAAATGTTAGGAGGGCGTGTGAAAACCTTGCATCCTGCTGTCCATGCTGGTAAGGGATTGACACCTTCACTTTATAACAGAGCTATTGTAGTTAGTAGTTTCAAGAGTGTAAGCAGTAAGTCATCAGTGTACTTCTCTTGCTGGGTCATTCTGTCACCTTTTGTCTTATTTCCTATCTCAAGAATCCCTTATGAGTATAACTGGCCTCCCTCCAGGACGAGTTCATACTGTTTTCCTCTCTTTTGATCTTGACCTAATAATAGTTTAGCTGATCTGGACTGCAGTGTTTCTGTGTTACGGCCTGACTGTACACCTCTGCAGTAGTTCAGACTTAGAATATACTGATATACTGTAACTGGCTCTCAAAAGAGTGTGACCTTTGTTCATTTGTCTGGCACACACAGAAAACCCTCTAGACAGTAATAGCAGCAAGAAGTATATTTCTGCCTTGTAAGCCGTGGTAAAACTTGTGAAGGATGATCAGAGCTAGTGCTGGAGGGTGGTTCAGCCTTTGCAGTTGAGCACCGACTGCTCTTGCAGAGGACCCAGGTTCAGTTCCCGGCACCTACATGACGGCTCAAAACCCCAATGTAACTCCAGTTTCAGAGAATCCAGTCCTTTCTTTTGACCTCCTTAAGTACCAGGCATGGTTGGCGTGCGTACATATAATACAGGCCAAGTAATCATGCATATAAATAAATCTGAGGGAAATAGGAAAATAAAGGAAAAAGACTGAAAAGCCAAGGATTACCAGTCAAGTCATGAGCTATTACTTATGAAATGTAGATTTGAAAGACTGGCAGAGGTTATGTAAAAATTCCTTTTACAGTTTCGTGAGGTTTTGAATTGTGTTTGTTTTGTGTAAGAAAAGGCATTAGATCTGTTTTGTTTTTTGAGACAGTCATTGTGGGGCAATCACTGTGAGGCAAGTCTAATCTAGACTCCACTCTGTCCCTGCTAGTCTGGGGCTCACAGGTGTGGGCCGCTAGACCAGGTGAGATTTAAGTGTTGAGGAAAAAGGTGTTCTGTTGTTGTTTGCTTTGGTCTTGGCTGTGTAGCCCAGGCTTGCTATCAAACCTGCTATCCTCCTGCCTTGACCTGGTTGCTTAGAAGTACAGACCTGGACCACTGGTGTCTATTGTTAACTATCTTAATATTTTCTTTCAAAACGCTTCAACTGTATGTGATGTTCTTTTAGAATATTAAGTGCTTGGTACACTTGCACAGGCCTGTAATAAGTAGAAGACTGATGGGCGGGTCATTTGATCCCAGGAGTATAAGGGCAGTCTGGGCAATAAAGTGAGGCCCTGTCTTTGGTGTAGGGTGCACACCTTTCATCCTACCATTTTGGAGGCAGAGGCAGGTAGGTCTCTATGAGTTGGAGGTCAGCCTGGTCGACTGAGTGAGACCCCATCTCAGAAAAAATAAGAATACTAGAGGGTTTACCTTGTGGCTGGTGGGACTACACAGTGTACCTGAGTTTCTGACCTTACTGTGTGCTTCTACTTTATTACATCAGGGATCTTGGCACGAAATATTCCAGAAGATACTGCTGACATGGCCAGACTTGATTTCAACCTTATAAGGTAAAAAGTTTGAAGCTGAGTTTTGAATGAGCTAAAGAACTCAGATAAGCAGTGCTAAACCTGATGTCTCCTGTGCTCACTGTGTGAGGGAGTGGTCCTCTCCTGTGCTCACTGTGTGGGTGAGTGGTCTTCTGTGCTCACTGTGTGAGGGAGTGGTCTTCTCCTGTGCTCACTGTGGGTGAGTGGTCTTCTCCTGTGCTCACTGTGTGGGTGAGTGGTCTTCTCCT